ACTGCAGATGATGAGATACGGGAACGCCTGACGAAAGCCGGCAAAAGGTAAGACTTCTTACCACGTCAGCCTCCCGGAATCTCTATCTGCAGAGTCCGGTGGAAAGAAGTAGTGAAAATTTTTTTCTTTAATTATTTGGCCAGCCATAAGAACTTAAAAAAAAGGGCAGAGGGAGATTCCCCCTCTTCCCCCGACAGTTTGGTCAGTAGCAGGCCAAGTCCTCATTTTTGGAGTCCACCTTCATGCACAAGGTGAGGGCAATTTGCAAGAATCCAGAGGTTGGAAAGAATAAGGCCTTGACGTCAAACACATCGCCTCAGCTCCAAGCGCAGGAAAACCCCTTGTTGATATGAAAACGGGCTAGGCTCACAGGCACCTGTCATTTCTGCAGGAGCTTCTACACTTCCTAAGGAGGGAAACTTCCTGGCCACCTCCACCCTCCAGAACAAGGCCAGGCCTTGGCTGTGCTAGCCACACTCTGCCATGTGCAAACCAGTGAGAACTGTTTCCCGAGACCGTTCCTTCAACTCGAGGAGGTCTCAAAGAGTTGGGATCTGAAGCTTGGCATGCTGAAAGAAACATCAGGCTCCCCTCCTGTCTGCTAGAGGTGGCCACAGAGGTGAGGAAGGAGGCAGAATCCATTCTCTACAGGCATCCACACACATCATCACATATGTCTTTGTTATTTAAAACAATCGAAGTTTCCAGTTGGAAAACCTGTGGGTTTATTGCATCTACCCCACTGCTGGTTTATTTTTCTCTTTCTGTTAGACCTACCCCAAGGCCATGGGGCTGTTGTTTTGTTAATTTCCAAAGCTCTCACATTACCGATCCATTACCCATCCCTGTAGGCATAGCAGGGAGAATCTCTACCAACACATAAATACCCCACATGGTGAGCTTGCTGAGCCCCCTTCCCCTTCTAAATGTGGGCAGATGTCAATGGCTGCTCCCTGGCACTCCAGGAGAGAGATCTCTTCTTCAGCCTAAAACCCTTCAGATCTCCCCTGATTTTCCCGCCCATCAGCAGCACATCTGCCAGTCATGGCACTTGTGCTGGTTGCTTGGAATTTAATTGCATGTGAAAATACCAGGTAGGCACGTGAATATGTACCATGTGTGTGCACACATGCACAGGCGCGTGCTGCGAGCACACACACACATTTTGGGTCCTCCCTATAACAAAAATCAAAAGTCCTTGTGACTGAAAGAAAGGAGCGCAGGGATCCAAGGATGGGGAGTTGTCTGCTGGCTTCTCTATCCGGCCCTAGGCAGCAAATGGTGGCTTGTCAGGAGCTGAAGAGGTTTACATTGAAACGTTTCCATGGAAGGAAGGCGCACAGCTTCCTGTGGGTCTTCTCATGTCAACAGCGGCCCCTGTGGCGTCTGGATCCCCTCCTTCTTTGTGGCTCAGATTGTTGCTGGGGTCTCAGCTCTCTCCTCCGGCCTCTGCCACATCATTAGCCGCAGCCCGGTGTACTTGCGCATTAACTTCTTTACTTCCCGATCTTCTTCCTCTTGGAGCTGCCGAATGAAGCTGTTAAGGACAGGCATCTCGAGCTTTATATACTGGGCCACGTCATAGGTGACTTCCTCCACCTGGTCCTTCTCCATAAGGAACACTTTGGAGACCTGCTTACATGGGCCCTGGAGGATTCGGGCAATCAGCGGGTAATCGGTGTCCTTCAGCTTCTGTTTCTCACCACTGCTGTGGACCACGTACAAAGCAAACTCCTCTGCCGAATTCTCGATCTGAAATTTGTTAAGCAGCAGCTTCAGGACCTGCGGAGTGGTCATGGTGCTGTTGATGCGGACGCTGGTGACTAAGGCAGAGGCCGGCGTGAACACCGACGTCTTGTGGCTGTAGAAATGGCCAATGATGGAGAAGCGGTGGCGTCTGACTCGCCGCTGATCACTGGGTGTCCTCACATTGCCGCGGCCACGCACCCCAACATCACTGCGGGTGCGCGTCAGCTGTGTGGTGTCTTCCTGCAGGGGCTTCAGGCCCCGCAGTCCGTGGGGTTCGTGGCCGGGTCACTCTCGGGCGGGGCGTCCACCTCTGAGATCTGAATGTTGGGCGTGGTGAGGGACTTAAGGACGGTGCCCTGAGCCTCCAAGTTACAGCCGGAGTGCCAGGAGGAAGAGGACGGAGGAGGGCGAATGCGCTCGTTGTCATCCTGCATCTGCAGACGAATGGGCCGGCGCAGCCCCCAGGAGATGTTCAGCAGTCCCTCCACGATGAACTCGTCTTTCTCCTCACGGTGTCGGAGCTGCAAATTCTGGCCTTCATAGTACAAGTTGTAGGTCTTCAGATGCAGGAGAAGTTCATTCTTGGAAATGTATTTATCTTGTCCACATGGGACTAGGGAAGTTTGGTGACTGTAGTCCATTTTTGCTTTCTCTTTTCATCAGAAGGAGAGTCGATAAATCTGGCCAGCTCTAGACACGGCCTCTGTCCTCTGGAAGAACACGATTTAGGGACCCGGATTCCCGACACCTGTGTCCAGAGCCGGCTGCATCCCGCTCGCGCCGCGGGGACCGTGGAGTTGGAAAGTGGGGGTGCCGCGGTCGGGGGCCTGGGTCAGCGACCAGCCGGCCGGGCTCAAATCCAGCCAGGCTGGGAGGCGGCGGCCTCGCAATTGGGGGTCGGGCTCCCCCTAAGGTTTTATTTATCCAACTTGTAGTTCTCTTTTTTTGGCTGCTGTTTAACACACAGCCTTGAAGACTTTTGTAGATCAAAAGTGAAGACCTAGTAATTTGTCTGCAAACCATTTCTTGGCTTTGATTGGCATTTATTGGTGCCAACCACTCCAGCCAGCCCCGTTTTCATTGATGTGCTTTGATAGCTACCATTACTTGAAAAGTATTTAAAATAGGTCTGAAGGCTGTACAAAGAGTCCTCGCAGAACAGAATTAAAGTATCTATTACACCTTTTTGATATCATGTGTGTTTCTATTTTTCTCCTCCCCAAACCTGGTCTACCAGCTTTATTTTCTCTCTGCCCCATGTCCAAACATCTAATGCTCTTGTACTGCTTTCCAATGACATGGCATTTTGGAAATTTTTTGGGTTTTTCTCTAGAGTCAAAGGATCCATCTGATTGAAGGTCTATAACCCAAATCTGACTTACAGACCTGGTATGTCTACGTTGTGCATTATTTTTTAAGTTTTTTTAAGCCAACAGTTAATACTCAGAAAATTTCATATAAAATATCTGGATCCTAAACATAATCTGGTAACAGTGGATCGGAACTTTTGCGTGGTAATAAATGTCACCGTTTGTGTAGGGTGGGCTCTCTCGTATTTGCCACGGACACAAGCACTCACAATTGGCTCTCCAATCCCAGGCCAATGCCAGGGGCCGTTTATCTCTGTGCCACACTGTTAGTTTTCTCACAGTAGAAAATTAGTTCTCTTTACTATGTCTTAAAAGTGGGAAAATGAAAAATAGACCAAAGGTCAATGTACTTCAAGAAAAAGGGAAGAAAGTACGTTTCTCCCTAGACATGAAGAATATTCAGCAATCTTTTGTGTGTGTGTGTGAGGAAGATTGTCCCTGAGCTAATATCCATTGCCAATCTTCCTCTTTTTGTTTGAAGAAGATTGTCTCTGAGCTAACATCTGTGTCAATCTTCCTCTACGTTGTATATGGGACGCTGCTACAGCATGGTTTGATGAGCGGTGTGTAGGTCCGTGCCCGGGATCGAGAACCCAGGAACCCCAGGCCACCAAAGTGGAGCAAGCGAACTTAATCAGCACACCATCAGGCTGGCCCCTCAGCAATCTTTAATATGCAGTCAAAATATGTTTCTTATACCAAGATTTTTCACTAATTTATGTTACCTCCTTGGTAACAGAGTTTATGACTTTAGCTTTTATTTATTTATTTATTTATTTATTTATTTATTTATGAGGAGATCAGCCCTGTGCTAACATCCGCCAATCCTCCTCTTTTTTTGCTGAGGAAGACTGGCCCTGGGCTAACATCCGTGCCCATCTTCCTCCACTGTATATGGGACGCTGCCGCAGCATGGCTTGCCAAGCAGTGCATTGGTGCGCGCCTGGGATCCGAACCGGCGAACCCCGGGCCGCCACAGTGGAGCACACGCACTTAACCGCTTGCGCCACCAGGTCGGCCCTGTTTGGCTTTTAGAGCAAGCCAAAATATTCAGAGACTGAAGAACTAACAACAAGGAACAAGGATTAGGGTGACCAAAATGCTCTTTGATTCACAGTCTAATTCCTTTAGAAGTGCCCACATTTGTTGGCTCATAAACTTTGTTGAATCACTGAGCAAATTCGTTTGTGAAGAATTATGTGTAAAGGAGGCCCTTCCATCATTACTTTATCTTGGAAAACTTTGAATATTTTCTTCTTTCAAATTAAATGAAATAAATTTTTACTTATATTATAGAGCATTCAGTTATAAATCGGTTAGTTACCTAATCAATATCTCTCCTTCCCTTCTACTTTATTAACAGAAGCCTTATTCTTTTGGGGCATTAGTGAAACTATGAAAAATACTCTTCTCCCAGACTCCCTTGCAGCTTGCAGTAGCTATATGAACTAAACAATGAGATGTATGTGGAATTCTACTGGATAGGGCTTCTGAGGAAGCCTCTTTTTGGTCAATATTAAGCACAGCCTCAGTCGGCATACTCCTTTTTTTGTACTTTCCCCTTAACCTTCTTCCTGCCTAAAATGCATGCACAGTTCCTGAAGATGGACCAGCCATTTTGTGACCATAAGGACAAAAACTGCATGCTCAAGTAGAGTAGAAGAAAGTTAGATGGAACCTGAGTCTTTTATGTTTTGATGGGGTTACCATGCCAGACTTGGGTTACCTACTTCTATACTTCTAGTTACTTGAAAGAAAATTCCTCTATTTAGTTAAGCTTCTGTAGTTAGGTTTTTTTTGTGTGTGTGAGAGGAAGATTAGACCTGAGCTAACATCCATTGCCAATCCTCCTCTTTTTGCTGAGGTAGACTGGCCCTGGGCTCACATCCATGCCCATCTTCCTCTACTTTATATGGGATGCTGCCACAGTATGACTTGACAGGCAGTGCATCCGTCTGCGCCTGGGATCCAAACCATGGACCCCGGGCAGCCAAAGTGGAGTAGGGGAACTTAACCGCTATGCCACCGGGCAGGCCCCTGTAGTTAGGTTTCTGATGTATGCAGCCAAGTACAACCCATAACTAATAAAGCATCTAAAATGTGGAAGTGGGTTGCTACAAATAACAGATCCTAAAAGATAGAGGGGCTGGAACTTTGTAAAGCAAAATCCCGAGAGAGAAAATCCAAGTCTAGATCCGGCCATTTTAAACTAGTGTGGCAAACTCATCCCTGTTTACCTGGGACTACTCTAGTCTCAAAACTGAAACTTCTACATTCTGAGAACACTCTCAGTCCTGAGCAAACCAGATGGCTGACTACCTTACTACAAGCAAGAGTAGAAGGAAGTACATATTTACTAAGGG